ATTCCATGGTGGTGTGTGGGGTTGTATCCCGCATCCTCATCGTCCTCTGTGCAGCAATTGCGGTTCTGCGCAATTGCGGTTCTCCCGTCGCTGACGCACTCCTTTGACCTTGACAACGCCCTACTCCATGGATCTCGAACCATGGGAAGAGGACGAGCGGGAACTCCACGCGGAGGAGGAGGTGCTCGACGAGCACATAGTCGACGAGGCGTAAATGGCCTCATGAGGAGATGAGGTTATGGCCCCCCGCCATGTGGACTGACTCCGAGGTCCTCGAGGAGCACCTCGCGATCGGAGGCCTCTTCCAAAGCCATGCGACTATCATCACCATCCTAGCCACATGTGCGGCCAAGTAACGGGACTGAGCAGAGTTCAAGACATCTCAATATGCCGGTGGCTCAAACCCCTTCGCCGATGAGGCCACACCAAAGGGCACGCATGACGTCGGGCATCAGGCTCCGACAAGGGGAAGGAGCCCATTGCCATCTCCCCCTCTGACAATTAGCTTAAATTAGGCTAGCTAAGATGTAATTTAAGTTAATCAAGTTGTAGCTTATGTTAGTTCCACCATGTTTAGTTCAATTATGTGATGTTTAATTGTGCACTATTGTGATATTTAATCAATTTGTTAAGTTCATATCATGTTTGAATGCTGACAGTTGTGCAAAATTAAGGTTTGGGGAGTGGTTTTTAACTGTGCTAAAAATTTATGATTGAAGGAGTTAAGTTTTGGGAAGTGGTTTGGGGAGAGATAGAAATGTAGTATTGCAGGCGGATGCATCCACCGCAGACAACCTGATTTTGCTGATTTTGCTGTAATTACGGTAAAAAGTTGTAATTATTCTTACACGGACAATAACCTGATTTCTTTTTCTACTTTCTATGCTCTATAATATGTGATTTACTTTTCCTCTACGCCGCTGCTAAGGAGTGAGTTGTCCAGCTAGGGAAAATTTTGGTGTTCATTACTTGCAATGGTCAAGGTAAAGACATGTGGTAAATTTTACATATCTATCAAATAATGTTCTAAAAACGTACAATCATACTTCTCTAACTTTGACTATCGACATATAAACTGACTGTTAAGATAAAAAAAATAACATAATTAGTTTCGCATGAAAATATTTCATGATTAGGCATTTTTTAATGATTATAGAACTACCGATATCCATATATAGAACATTGTGTATATAAAATAACTACTCTCCCCGGTCCAAATTATATGGTGTATTTTTTAAGTCAAACTTCTATATATCATCAATATGAGGTAACAGCGATGACATGAATCAGCATTAATTTTACGGTGCGTCTGCATTGACAGATGAAGGATGTAAAATATCTGTAGTGAGGCAGGTAAGAAAGAAAGTCATTCATTTCCCACCACATATTCATGCTTCTTCACCAACATACATCAGTCATTTACCTAATACAACATCCACTGAAGACATGATGCAAAACAGATGTATGAAACCGCCATCTCATCCTCACTGAAAATAGACCAGCCATATTTAACTCGGCAGTCCCATCACTCCCACTGGATAAAAGATCCATCTGCCTTCTGTATAGCTAATCCTCATCAAACTTGATCTTCTTAGCTGAAGGCTGAACGCTCCCGATCTGTATAGCCAAGAAAGCATTAGCAACCAGGCAAATATTTTGTTATTACCTCACACATAGTAGGATCAGAAAAAAGTTGCTAGAAAACAGAAGCTAATGTACTAGTGATCAATATCAACTATTTATCCATTAAAAACAATTGAAGCACAGCTCAGAATATGATTAAGCAAAGCCTGGGATGAACAATGGTGCTAATACATAAATTATTTCAGCAAGCAAATGTAGATAAGAATAAGAATAAACAAGCAGTACTATAATTATCAAGAACCTACACAGTAACACATGGCAAAATTGGCTTCTAGAAAACTACAAATGCATGCCTTTTGCCCCAGGTCAATACAAAAAAGTTGAAATTTTCCTAATACCATTACAATTCCGTGGCAAATTGCTGAGCTATTTCAGATCTGAGTAAGTAAGATAGATTTATTAAATCAATGAACAGCATCAAAGTGTTACTTACAAGGGCTGGACACTCATAATCGATACCAGCAGCCTTGATTCTTTTGCGACGATTCTCATCCCGCTTTACAATTCCTTCGAGCATCCTCTTATGCTCTTCTACTGTTTTATCCTGGTAACACAACAGCTAATATTAATCTACAGCGTTAAACTTTTGCATTCCAGTTGTAGTTAGCAACAGATTACCTTACTAAGCTTCTTCCGTTCAATTGCTACCCGGTCAACTGGTACAAATCCCTTCCGCACACCTTTCCATCTAGAAGCCATACAAGATATGGACGTTGTAGATCATAAGAATTATGTTCTCACTTTAATCAAAACGCAAGAAACAGTAACTATGTACAGCTATATGTTACAGAAGTACAGGGAAACAAAACTCTAGTGTTGTAGAAGAGTTGCTGCAACCTCCGTATTAAGTACACCAAAAGAACAAGGATTCAATAAAAACTTGCAAGAGATTGGCATCAATGCTTCAGTTCTGCACTTACCGATGCAGTGGTATATATACCAATTCATATTATTGTCACAAATCCTTGACTTCATAATTTAGTTTTGACATTCACATAGCACTTACTATGCCTATTGATATATATTTCTAACATGACTTACAGTTTGCATAAAGCAATCAGAAAGTATCAACACCAATCTGTGTTACCCCAATGAGCTCGCATCATTACTAGCTGTGCAATGCAATGGAAGCAAATAGCCTGGTAATATTAAGTACATGTCTGTAGCCTGTTGGGAGGGTATGTCACTGTAAACAGTATTCCATGACAGAGAAATACAAAGTAGACAGCCTTTGCCCAAGAATATACAAATATTGACCTCATTTAGTGGTAATTAATGTGCACTCCTAGACAGAAGATGAAGGCTATGTTTCTGTTATCAAAAAGCGAAAATAAACAGAATTAAGCAGCACAGTCGCGGTGATTACAATTTGGCATGAACTTTCTCCAGTGGGACAGGCGCAATTTGCAGAGTGTGCTCAAACAAGAGGTAGTTATTCATCTCATCAGCTACAATCTTGGCCACCTGATATACCAAGAACAGGCCAGAAATTTGTAAGCAGACAACAAACATACAGTGTGCCCTGATAATCTGATATATCCCAACACACGTGCTTACCTCGGGGTTCTCAAACTCAATGAATCCATAATGCTTGGACTTTCCTGTCTAAACATACCGCCAAACAGCAAGTTAGATGCTCGCAGAAAACAGCACACAAATCATCAGATACCTCGTAACGCAGCATACGATACCTTGTGGTTCCGGGCAATCCTGACCCTCTTAACAGCCCCAAACTGCTGAAAGAAACCTGCAGAATCAACCAAACCAACAAAGACTGTATCAGAACCAGACCCCTCGCACCGCATGCGCTTCTCTAAGCTCTGCTGACGGAGACAGACCTTGCATCTGGTCCTCGTAGAAGCCGTGGGGTATGTGGCCGATGTACAGGACAGTGGCCGTGTTCTCCGGCTCCTCGGTCTGCCGCTCCCGGATCCTCTGCTCCTTCCCCTCCAGCGGCTGCGGCAATCACAACACGACGTCAGGGACAGCAACCAAAAAGCGTGCGTTTTTTCTCTGTTGGTTTCGATTTGGTTCGAAGAGGAACAAAGCACGCACCAGGAAATCCTTGCCCTCGCCAGTCCGGGGGCCGGCCGAGCGCCGCGAGAGCACGCGCCTCTGGTTCCTCTTCTTGTCCCTCAACCCCATCTCGCTCAAACCTCTACCTAGGTTCTAGACGAAACCTGGCTGTGGCGCGGATGGGTGGAGGTGGGAGACGGAAACAAGGCCGCTTGCTCTGGCCGTCGATGACGGACGGCGGACGGCGACGCCTCGAGCAGGGGACGGGGAGCAGGGAGCGCCGGGAACTTGCGACTGCTGGCGGCTAGGGTACGTAGAGGATAGGAAACAGGGGAAGGGACGCAGTGTGTGCTCTGGTGGGCTGGGCTAAAACCAAAGGGAATAGCAGCTGGGCAGAGCTGATTTTTTTTTTCTAAAAAAGAAACATAGGTGATGCCTTTTTTTTTAACAGAAGCTGGTCGCTTGTCTGTTCATGCTTCGGGCTATTCGGGTGCCGGGAGAAAAAAAACAAAAAAGCGAAATAATTCGTTTTTTTTCTGTGGGGAAAATAATAATTTGGGTTTCTAAACTTGGTAACCGAAAATGTTCGGGCTTTGGGAGACAACTGTTATAGATATTTTCTAGAAACACAAAATAAACGCAGATGCTCACACACACGCTATCCTTACGAGCATCTTGAAAGACTGAGGGCCTCTTTGACTTGCAGGATTCTAAAAGTGCGGGAATAGAAAAAACATAGGATTATAATGTCATGCCCATCTCAATTCTAATGGGTTTTGATTTGTTTGATTGCATCATAGAAAAAAGAAAGAATCCTATATGAAGCAGTACCTATAGAAAAAATTCTATAGGATATTATCCCATGGATCAAACATTCAACATAGAAAAATTCTTAAGGATTCTAACACCCAAAATTCACATGAAAATCCTTCGAATCAAGGAGCCCTGAGCCAACAGATTTTGATATTGACGAAATCGTCGTAGACACTTCGTGGTTGATGGGCGTGCCATGTAATTGAACTAATATCGTCGAAAAATCTGGAATGAATTTAAAATATGCCGCCACACATATCAAGTCTAGAACTTGAACCTGCATATGCAGGTTTCACCGCAAGAGACCTGGCCATCTGATACTCACTTCACAACAACTGTTACACACGAACGAAAATCCATTTTATTATATATGTATGCATAAGATCTCAAACACTCCCAATAGCTCAGCAGGTACGACGTAGTACAAACAAATCACGGGTGTCAGGCATGCCACGGTAGCTCGTCATAATGGACACAGGACTCAAACATATCATGGACCATGCATGGATTCGTCGGTGGTTGAGTGATCATGGTTTTGGTTCCGCGGGATTCGGCAGTGGCGGCTGCGCCGTCGGTGGAAGCTCACTGGTAGGGAGCGGCGGCAGGTCTGGCTTCAGTGGCAGCCCGACGTCCGGCTTCGGTGGAAGGTCACCGGTCGGAGGCGGCGGCAGCTCCGGCTTCGGTGGCTCCTCTGTCTTGGGTGGCAGCTCGACCTCTGGCTTCGGTGGAATCTCACCGGTCGGAAGTGGAGGCTGCTCTGGCTTCGATGGCTCGTCTGTCTTGGGCAGCCGCTCGGGCTCCGGCTTGGGCGGAAGCTCACCTGTAGGAAGAGGCGGCGAAACCGGCTTTGGTGGGATCCCACCTGTTGGCGGCGGCGGCAGCTCCGTCTTCGGTGGCTCCTCACCCTTGGGCACGGGTGGCAGCTCTGGCTTCGGTTCCACGTCAGGTTTGGGCACCTCCGGTTTGGGCAACGGCGGCAACTCCGGTTTGGGCTGCACGTTAGGTGTGGGCAGCCCCGGCTTCGGCAGCACGTCGGGTGCGGGCAACGGCGGCTCTGGCAACACGTCCGGTGTGGGCAACGGCGGCAGCTCCGGATTGGGCTGCTCCTCAGGTGTGGGCAGCGGTGGCAGCCCCGGCTTCGGCAGCACCTCCGGTACAGGCAACGGTGGCGGCACGTCCGGCTTGGGTACCGGTGGGTACTCCGCCTCCTCCAGGTGCCGCGCCGCGTTGCCGACGCTGCTGCGGGAGAGCAGCAGCACGCCGAGGAGGAGCACCGCAAGAGAGGAGGACATGCTGGCGATCCCGGAAGCCATGGCTGGCTTCGATCGCTGAACTAATCAAGAAGAATATGGTGTGCGTTCTCCTTGCTGGGGTGAAGAGAAACGAAGGCGAGGGCGAGGCATTTATAGCAGGCGTTCGTTCGTCGTACGGAGTCGATCGTAAATTCGTAATGCGTTACACTCAAGTTCAGTACGTTAGTTGGCAGAAGAGAAGATGGATCACCTGCGTTGCGTTTCTTCCTGGCACTTAACCCGTGGTACGTTTCGTACTAGCCCCGTGCGACGCTGGAGAATCGGGCCGATCGACCGGATCGGTTGCTCCGGTTACACTACTGCGACGTTGCCTACCCAGATATCTGTCGTCCTGTCAAAAAAACAGAGAAAAAAATGACCTAACGTTACAAGCGTCAAAAGGTCGGCACATAACTTTCTTTCCATGGATTTATTGCGACAGGAATTTCTGCAAGAATCACGTTTTTTTAGAAGGTGCGAGGTCATTTCCTAGATAAAAATAAAAATGAATAGAGGCTGCAAGGTCATGCCGTTGGTTCCTTATAAGACTACTTGCCTAGTACTACGGTTCGCGCTTTATTATTGACGAACTAGCTCTACTCCATGGGATTGATCGAGCGACAAGAAATCGGTCGACCAACACGCACCATGAAATGTACGTTGAGATTATTAGTAATTTATTTTTTTGAGAAAAACGTTTTTTAGTCTTTTTTTTAGTAAAACGTACTCTATCGAGATCTATTTTTAGACAATACTCTAGCAAAGAGCCCGTGCGTTGCAACGGGAGAGAAAACATAACACATGCTTTTAACCCAACAACCATCACTGAAGACCACAATAGGTCCATCTCCTTTATTTTTACGAGGCATCATATTTGTGTTGCCGTTTATCCTCTTTCTCACCCTCACCGGTGATGGCCTCGGTGTTCACACAAAAAAACGTGTTTGAATATGGTTAATCCTAAGGCGTCTCTCTCTTCCTCTCTCCTCCCTCTCCCTCTCCCTCGCTTTCTCTCACTCTCGCGATGAGAAATCTGTTGTTTTTCCCTGCGACATTTTTCACAGGTATGCATGTGTAGTTATTGATGTTTTCTTTTCCCTATATTGTTATAGTGGGGTGTTTATTTGCAATCCGGATCGCCGCCGGTACGAAAGGAAAATGGATCTTACACTATAAATTATAAGTTTGCTCCCAAAAAAATATTTTAAAAATATTTAACAGGTAAAATTAACATCATATTTAGATTCCACATATTTTTTAACAAAATTTCATATATAATATGTTAAAATCGAAGTGATTTAAAAGATACGGATAATTTAGAAAATCATTTGTTTGACTTAAATATATTCCAAAGTAATATTTAAAAATACTTAACAGGTAAAATAATCTCATATTCATATTCTACATATTTTTCTAATCAAATTTCATATATAACATGTTCAAATCGGAGTTACGGTTTAAAAGATATGGATGATTTAAAAAAAACATTGTTTGACTTAAATATGATCCGCGGATGAATTACCTAAAACATCAGGGTGCTTTAAGAAAAATGTAAAATAACGGTTCGTGTGTGACTTAAATCCGAACCACGGGTTGATTTCTAAGTAAACACAGGAACTTTTGTGTAAAGGGAAAAGTATATTTTTTTATCCTTTAATTCTTTCAAAAGTATAGAAATGGTCGCTCAACTATAAAACCAGTAAATGTTAGTCCCTCAACTTCTCAAACCGGATAAGTTTAGTCCCTCGTATAGCTTTGGGTGGTTTTGACCAGGTCCACATCCACATGGCAATCTCTGATGAATCTTATTCTTCCTTGTCATTCTAGCTCAGCTAGGCATTTCGTCGAGCAGTTGACGCGCGTGGAGCAGCAGTAGGAGACGTGGGCGTGGTGGCCTCCGGCGAGATGGTTTTGGTCCTTGGCGACCTTGGTAAGGCTAGCTCCTCAGGTGCGAGCCCCCAGCATGCCGCCCACGGGATCGAGGTGGAAGATGCCGCCTCGTGCGTCCGCCCCGCGGGTCACACGCACACCTCCCGACCTCCGCTCTAGCCTTGCGGTGGTACAAGCTCCGAAGGCAAGCTGCCACATGCTTCCCGCGCCGCTGGCCGCAAACACAGTCGCGAGCTCCCGGCGCCTGCCAGCTTGTGTGCACACCGTCGCGAGTTGCCACAGCACCCTTTGCGTTCGGCTGCTCCGCGCCGTCTATGCATTGGGACTTTGGGAGGCCGGCACCGTCGTGCAAGTACGTCGCCTCCATCCACGAGCTTATGGGTCCCATCACTACGCCACCTAGCCATCACGGCGAGCATCTTGTCGCCGTCGCACACAACCATCATAACACACGCACCACAGTCACGAACATAGCAGCAGGCCAGCAGCAGCAACACAGCACGCACACCCAGCGCGAAGGGCAACACACTCACGAACATAGCAGCAGCGGAACCACAAAACACACATCCGGCGGTGCTGCGCGCGTGCGGCCACAAGGAGGGCTGAAGGCGTGCATGACCTCAAGCAAGAAGTAGAGCCTACACGGCTAGAGCGGAGGAGGGAATGCGTGCTGCCGCGTGCCGCCTCCTGGGCCGGGCATCAGCTTCGTCTTCTCCAAGTGCTGTTTTAGAGGTTGAAGATGCTCATACATGTGGGGTCTATATGTAAGTGAATAGAGATAAAGAGGAGAAATCAAAGTAAAAAATTTTGGGTGGACGTGGTAGGGCCCACACTTGTCAGCCCGAGTCAATACCACTCCACATCCGCAGGAAACCACCCGAAGTGGCGCGAGGGACCAAACGTATCCGGTTTTAAAAGTTGAGGGACTAAGTTTTGCTGGTTTTAAAGTTGAGGGATCGTATCTATACTTTAGAAAGAATTAAGGGACGAAAAATATACTTATCCCTTGTGTAAAATATGAAAAAACGATTCGTTTTAACTTAAAACAGGACTGCGTGTTGAATTCTTTGAAATAGTGGGACTTTTCTGAAAAATGTTATGACGGACGAAAGAAACCCAATTTTCTTTATTATTAGGTAAAGATACTCTACCGAGATCTGATCGAAATATTTGCAAAGTTCGCACGAAGGTTAGGCCCGGCGTTGGCCCATCTAAAAGAAGCTGAACTGTCAAATGGGCTTCGAATCTGCGACGTGCAGGACGGTCGCTATGGGCTGGAGCTGTGAACATATTTATTTAGTTTTCGTTCACCTCAAAAAATATATATTTAGTTTTCGTGTTTGCCCCCAAAAAGATTAAGTTTTCGAAATATATTCCCCCTTTCTCCTGAACTGAAACTATATTTGTAAACTTTTAAATAAAAGAGGTGTCAAACCAGCATGAGTTTCTTTTTTTAGATTCGTGTATGGGCTGGACCTGTGAAAATTTTAAAAAATCTTCGTGCTTCCCTCGTCATTAAAATGGGTCCGACCAACCATGGGTGGCGAAGGTAGTGACTGTCCAAACCAAAGCTAGAAAACGATGCGGGTGGTAGCGGCATTGAGGCAAGGGTGACACAGTAACAAGTTAGACATGGGACGGCGTTGATGGCCATGACATCATCGATGGAGAGGAGAGAGTAACAAAGCTGCTTCGACGCGAGCTGATGGTGCGGGTGCGAAGGGGATCACCTACACGGGAGAATAGGGGGTTCTAGGGATAGGCAAACGATGCAACGACGTTAGTCACCGATACCAGGAGGCAACAGTCAGGTCACTGATTATGGGTAGGTCAATGAACTACGCATGATTACAACAACGGTAGTGGACGAGAGACAATAATTCTAGGCATGTCCGCTAAAAGGCTTTAAGGTGGGCTCAATTTAGTGGGGATGAGTCCAGACACTCACTATTAGGGAAAAACCTACCAGTAGCGCGGGTTTTATGCTCACTAGTAGTGCGGGAGGGCGCGCTACTAATAAGGCGCTACAGCTATTGCTTAGCAGTAACGCGTGCCCGCACGCGCTACTACTAGGACAAATAACTGCAGTGTTTGTTCATTCCCACGCTACTGCTAATGTAGCTAGTGGCAGCGTGTTTACTCTCCATCGCTACTAGTATTCTTTTTTATTTTTTTTATTTTTAGTGTATTTATGCGCCATCGTACAAATATTGGTACAATACCAGTTATGAGGTTTACATTATTATGTCCATAACAGTGTGTCAAATGAAGGTGAATTAGGTTCAAGTGGAGTCAATATGTGATGCATGTCAAAAGTATACTAGTAAACCAAACTTGATCTAGTTTCGACTAGTAGTACTTTCGATATGCACCACATGTTGCCTCCACTTGAATCTAATCCGCCAGCACAAGCTATTTAATCATCATCATAGTCATAACATCAACAGTAGTTATTTAATCATCATAGTCATAGTGTAGCACATCATCATCTTCAAACTCATTCTAGCTAGCTAATCACCACCAACACTAGCTGTGGTAGCTATCTAATCACCAGCAACACTAGAAAATAAAAATCATCAGAGTCATTGCCACAAACACTAGCTAATCACTCATGTTGCTCTCTCTCTCTCAGGTAAAATAACATAAAACATGTGTAGCACTTTCTTCATCAAGTTGGATCATGCAGATGAACCTGTCTCCTAATCGTGGCTGCGCTTTTGATTGTTGTCCCCTAGTACTTCTCTGCGATCATTCATAATTTTGCTCCAATATTTCACTATTAAGTATTCCTCGCTATTAGAAATCCTGAATGCACTAAAGTGCATTATAGGATATCTTGGTCGTAAGCTGACAATTCTCATCTGACCTTTAGTCTTGATCCAGTGAGGCACAACATTCAGCGGGAGTCACTGTTGAAGAACATCGTATAGTAACATACTTAGCAATGAAGTTTAGCTAAAAAATAATGTATGCAAAAGATGCACTGAGTACAAATAATAAAAATCTTACCATCTTTCCTAAATAGATGTGACCGTAGTTCAATACGAACACTATTGGTCGCACGTTTTGAGTACTAAGATTTGCAAGTCCAAAAAAAATTTGTCTTGACAGTATGAAGATCCTCAAGCCAT